GCAAATTTCTGCCTTGTGGGGTTTTCAGTTACTTAAGGTTGTGTAGTGCAAGTTTTTAAACCCACATTTTCCACGTTATAGGGTGGCTTTGTGCACTATGGTGAAGTGACCAACGACTTCCTGATGCTGAAAGGCTGTGTGGTCGGAACCAAGAAGAGGGTTTTGACCCTACGCAAATCTCTTCTGGTCCAGACCAGCCGCCGTGCCCAGGAGAAGATCGACCTCAAATTCATCGACACCACCTCCAAGTTTGGTCATGGCCGTTTCCAGACCATCGAGGAAAAGAAGAGCTTCATGGTGAGTGCATGCCTCCAGTGGTTTCTCAGCACTTTATCCCTGCTATGACCAGAGCACCCAGAATCAGACTGGGGCCCAAAGATACCAGTCTGAAATGGGCTGTGCTCGAGTGTCCTGAGGCATTGGTGGATTTTTAATTTTACATGCACCACACCTAACTGCCTCCATGCCCATGGTCCTCTGCAGGTCAGTGCACTGTTCGTAGCCTGTTTCAGCCTGTCAGTCTGAGATTTGGGTTCCATTCCAGTGCAAGATAAAAGCTCAGTGAGGCAGGGGAGTGGTGCCTCTCTTGTGCTTTCTCCCTGTTCACTCTCTGATGACATTTATACCAGTTATACATTATCTACTTTTTTGTTAAAATCAGTTTGAGTTAGATCGGCTGGTAACCAATCTTTTCTTCTTTCAACAGGGACCCCTCAAGAAAGACCGCCTTGCCAAGGAGGAGTTGTCATAATCGTACTCTGCTCTGTTTGGTGTTCTCATGCAGTACTGCAGAGTTTAATAAAAATCACAAATGAACGGGCTCTGTAACATTTTTGCATTTCAGAATGGTTAACTGTTCGCAGTTCTCCACTTGGTTTAGTGTAGTGGTTCTCAACCTTTGTGAGATGTCCATCCCCATGTTTTTTTTTTTTTTTTTAAAGATTTTTAGGGTTCCACAAGTAGAGCTGCTTGTTCTTTAGGGCTGCTTTTATATAAATCAATGAATTAATTACTCCCAGGTGTTAAGACTGTTTTATTTTAAACGATATAGGTATTGTATAATTTGTACCCCACAAAAAATTGCACACTGTATACTTTCTATAAAAATGCACCTGGGGTTAATTTTGTGCATGACTTTTCCAGGTATTGAAGTCTATTTGACTTGCCTAATTCATGCATTTGTTCCTTGAGCATGCATGTGGAGAAAAGGTGTTTTTGTTGGGGTGTTTTGACTTAACTTTCAGATTGTTGTGCAACTGAGTTGTCATCCTCAACTGTTCACAATCTAAATGTTGTGCTGTGTCCATTAACACTGGAACCAAATCATATGATTACAAGTCACCGTAATCTTGGATGTAGGTCTCAACCCAAATGTCTTTTGCTAAGAAATGTAGTCTCTATTTTCCATGTATGACCTCTGTGAAAGGTTGCTCCAGGAACGCAATGCTGCAGAGCAGGAAGCGGATCAATGGCAGCCTTGTGGATCCCCCTGACCCAGCGAAAATCCTGGCCTTCAGGTGCTTGGTCGATAATGAATGCTGTATATACCTTAATTAGTGTTGTTTTTTTCACAAGGCTCCTCTAGAGGACAAAAGTTGATTCCGAACACGGGAAAGCCCACACTAATCTCGCCTTGACCAAAACGCTTGTACTATATGCCATATTCCGTAGTTCTCCATATTTGACATGCATCTGTCTCAAAGTGTGTCTATAATCTGCTAAATTACTTCTCAACGAGCTCAAATTAGCTCTCAGTCTGACAGCAGCTTCATTGTAATGAGGGATGATGGGAACTGATGAGGGCAGTGTCAGGAATTCTACCTTTCCCTGTCATGTTCAGCTGTCCAAGCACAACACCCCACAGCACTTGTGCCCAGATATCCATACCAAAGAAACAGCTGGCTCTCCCCACTCCCTCTGGCTTCCTACCACATCCCACCATTACATCATAGTTCGAAGAGGGCTGCCAAGGACTTTTGTTGCAACCTCGCACTCTGCCTGTTCTTGTGTGTAAATTTGTGTAGCAATCCCAAACAACAATGGTTAAGCTTGCAATGCCTCTATGTTTTGTCCTTGAGAACGGAGCATCCCTCTGAGCGTTGGGCGCATCAAGTTCGGATTGAGGCTTTTGTTTACGACAGTCTGAAGGGAGCTCACCTAATTAAGACTCTGTCCTTACACTGACTCATTGCAAAACTGCTTTCCCCGTCGTTTCACAGCGTAATAAGAAGCCTGGAAGCTCTTCACACACGGTTTAGGCCTTACTTCCTCATTGCATAGTAGATATTATGCTCTCTTGGCAAGAATCGCTTCGCCCCTCACCCACCACCCTTACAGGAATATTAATAAGGATTTATCAAGGATGGCACCTTCATTTTTTAAGAGCTTAGACCTTGGAGCGTTGTCATCTTTTTTTTTTTTTGTCATTTTTTCAAAGGGAAAGGCAGACCACTTCAACCCAGATTCAGAGAGCGATAGAGGGAGAAAAAGACTTTGGATTATAAGATGCATGAATCCTAGAATCGGCCTAGATTTCACTCTGAAAAAAGGCAAGGGGTCAATTTTTGGCTGATTAGCATCCTAGCCTAATCGCATTGAATTTGCAGTGTTGACTGGTCAAAGAGAAAACCTTGAAATTGGGTTTCCATTAGGAGCGATCCCCATTGGCTCAAAGAACTTGTAATGGGTTCTATGTTTCGCTCCTGATTACAATTCCTACAAAATTGTGTTATATTTGTAGATTAAACTACATTATAATGACAATTAAAGGGATAATTCACCCAAAAATGAAAATTCTGTCATTAAAGGGTTAGTTCAGTCAAAAATGAAAATTAAGCTGTGTTTTACTCACCCTCAAGGCATCCTAGGTGTATATGACTTTATTCTTTCAGACAAATCCAGTTGGAGTTATATTAAAAATTGCCTTTGATCTTTCAAGCTCTATTGTTGTACTCAGCGGGTGTTGCATTCCTTCGGTTCAGAACGCAGCTTAATTTTCATTTTTGACTGAACTAACCCTTTAATTACTCACCCTCATGTCGTTCCAAACTCGTAAAACCTTCATTCATCTTTAGAACACAAATTAAGATATTTTTTTGATGAAATCCAAGAGCTCTCTGACCCTGCATAGACAGCAATGCAACTGAAATGTTTCCAGGCCCAGAAACGTAGTAAAGACATCTGTAAAATACACTTAAAAATAAAGGTGCTTAAAAGGTTCTTCAAGCGATGCCATAGAAGAACCATTTTTGGTTCCACAAAGAACCGTTCAGTCAAAGGTTCTTTAAAGAACCATCTCTTTCTTACCTTTCTATAATCTGAAGAACCTTCTTTCGCCACAAAGGACCTTTTGTGAAACAGAAAGGTTCTTCAGACGTTAAAGGTCCTTTATGGAACCTTTTAGACAAAAAGGTTCTTCTATTGCATCGTGAAGCACCTTTATTTTTAAGAGTGTAGTCCATGTGACATCAGTGGTTCAACTGTAATTTTACAAAGAATACTTTTTATGCACAAAGAAAACAAAAATAATGACTTTATTCCACATATTCCGCCATTATAGAGAGTACCACGACACATGCGCGTGCATTTCTCTGCACGTAAACAAGGCTCAGCGCATGCATGTTCTACGTCAGCAGCACCACGCGCATGCGTTGTTTATGTGCAGAGGTACTCGATAATGGTGGAAGACAAGATTTGGAGGAGAAGAATTGTTGAATAAAGTTGTTATTTCAATTTTCTTTGCGCACAGAAAGTATTCCCTTAGCTTCGTAACATTATGTTGGAACCACTGATGTCACATGGACTATTTATCAATGTCCTTACTACCTTTCTTGGTCTTGAATGTGGTAGTTGCGTTGCTGTCTATGGAGGGTCAGAAAGCTCTTGGATTTTATCATAAATATCTTAATTTGTGTTCTGAAGATGAACAAAGGTCTTACGGGTTTGGAACGACATGAAGCTAAGTAATTAATGACACAATTTTCATTTTTGGGTGAACTATCCCTTTAATGTTTGTTTTAACATACTTCATAGCATAGCATAAAGATACTTGGAGCCAGTTGCATAAACATAGTCACTATGCTAAGACTGTCTTTAAAGAATTAATTTCACCAACTAGAATTTTAGCCAGTCTTATGACCAGTCTCGAAGAAAAAAAGAAAAAGAAAATTAGATACTTTTTTAAGACTAGTCGCAGTTTAGTTAATAAACTTTCACTTACCCTGTACATGTATTTTCAACAATGTTTAAACTTACATGATATTTCAGTTATTAAAAGAACAATGTGACTGTGTTCAACTATTTGTTTATTAATATTATTTATTAAAGGGGTCCTATTATGCTCTTTTACAAAGTCTTGATTTTGTTTTGGGGGTGTACTAGAACAGGCTCTCATACTAGGTTGTTCGAAAAACACATTATTTTTTCACATATTTTACATTATTACAACACCTCTCTCCCCAGTCTGGCATGAGCGGCTCGAATAGTTCCTGTATCAAATGAAGGCCCGTGTTTTTTATATATATAATATTTCTTTATTATTTGGTTTTATGAACTCCTGTTTGCTGTGTACTATTTTTGGTCTTCATTATGTTATAAATACAGAAAAAAAGGAAAAAAAAAAAATGTAAAGAAAAATTTGCAATAATATTCAAATACATGTTTTCATTGTAAGGCAACCATTTCTATATTTATTTTATTATTTTATTTTATTTTTTTATTTATACTTTATGGACTGCATTGAAACCCCACAGTATGAGTAGAGCATATCTTCAACCATCTTATGTTGCCATTTGGGATTGCAGAATATAATTCACATGCATTGGTTTTATTTTCTGAAGAGAGACGGGGTAGAGACAGTGGACAGTCCTTGGCTAGCGTCTGCCTGACTGCAGCCCTGATGCACAAGTGCTGCACTGTGGAATCAGTATTCTGAGCTGGTTCCTCTGGACACAGCATTCTTAAAGCCAGCAACAGCTTCACCAGACTCCTGAGCAGAAGACAGGCCCACCTAACTCTCACCTTACCACTAGAGGGCGAGTGGCGGAGCAGTGCATCCCACAGTCTGTCTGTGTCTGCATGTGCAGAGGGACACGGGGGAACCGGTTGGTCATCGCGCTGAGCACTGGGTGATACAGCTAATAATTAGCCACGGGCTGCTCATCTGCTCCATTTATGTGAGTGAGAGCGCTGAATTTTTGGTGTAGTGTCATCATTTACATTCATTACATTGTCAAAGTGTCTTTTATCTCTTGAGTAGTCCCTCATTAGCTCAGACAGCTAGTTCAGTTGTCGTTCGCGGAGTTTCTTTTTGCAGATGGGTTAATTTATTTAACTATAAACAAAACTAGATAAAACAGTCAACCAGAAGAGACTTGATTATGATTTTGAGTATGAGTAGGATTTTGTATTAATATATAAAATATAAGTAGACTTTACAGGCCTAAACCCAGTGGCGGCTGGTTGGGGGAGGCAGGGGAGGCACAGCTTCCCCATAATTCTGAGGTGAAAATGGGAGGAGGACGATTTAATGTTAATAAAATTCACAATTAATTTCAGTTCATGTCTCATGAATCTGCTGATGTAATTAATTACAACCGCTAGGTGATAGAGAAGGGGAGGGGGAGGCCGGGGGAGAGGTGAGCTCTTGTGCCTCCGTTGGTAAAAACAATTAGCCAATCACCATCGAGTGTTCACTTTCAGCGCTGAGGAGTGTTGAGAAAAGAAACCTCGCCGAGGAGGCTAGCCACCCTTCTGGTATATCAACCAATCATCACAGAGAGGTAAATTATGTGATATTAGTTTGAACGTCTCCTGCTGCGCTGATAATGTACCAAGTACTTATGATGAATAGCGATATTGAATATTTGATTGCCAACAGATTTACCAAGCTGTCATTCAAACAGTATACAAATTTAGGGAAAACAGCCTAAACTGGATATAGGCTACAGCAGTCGGCTTAATTAAACGGCGCAACAGGCAGCTCTCTTTTAACACAGACTTTTAAGAAGGGATGGATGTTTGCTTCAAGTGATAGACCAGGTAAGTGAAATTATATTATCTTGCTGTATGTATGTCGTTTTCTTTACGTTTTCTGACTAATATATATATATATAGGCTTTGTCATGTTAGAATAGAAAAGTTTCCTGTCCAAACTGTTGCAATAAAATTAGAAGCACACAATTCCCTACAATATCATTATATGCTTAAACATTAAGACTTGTTCTCATAGAAAAAACTAAAGTAGTCAAACCTGTTCATTAGAAGGGGGTGTCCCAATACATTTGGCAATATAGTGTATATTATACAGCTTAAAATGTAATCTGGTCCAATGAAAAAAATATTCAAGACAAACTAAAATATTTTGTGAATAAAATAAAAAGCTGACAGCTTTTTAAAATTAAAAATAAAGTTATTTTATAGTTTGACAATGAACACATTGCAACCAGGGCCCCCTGCATCATCATTCAAAATTCAAAGGAATTGTAGTTGTGGCTATATTCCATGCCAGTAGAACAATGTTTTGCAAAATATCCAAGGTACTTAAAAAAACCTTTACGCGCCTTCATTTTGTGGAAAAGAGTGATTAAAATTAGAGAACAGCAATTATTGTAGCACAAAGAAAGATTACAGCTAAAATTTCTGAAGGTTACAGCAGTCAAAAATTACTAGGAAGTGCACAGGCCCCTGCTTTGAATGACTTCAGCACATCTGCAGCCACAGGACATCACTAGTTTCTCACACTGTGCTGGAGTGATCTTGGTCCACTCCTCTTCCACTCTCTTCCACAGTTAGTGTGTAGTGGGTTTTTTAGCCATAACTTTGTCGCCAAGGTTTTCCATAGATGTTTAATCGGGTTTAGATCAGGAATCTGGGCTGGCCATTTCATTATTTCAATGTTTTCAGCTTCAAGGAACTGCTTTACATGTTTTTTCTGTGTGACATGGGGCATTGTCCTGCATTAAATTTGCTGGCAGATTGGGTGATGAACGCAGGGAAGAAACTGCATGTTGCTGCAGGAGGCTCTGATAGACATCTGCATTCACTCTACCTTAATGTATCTGTATAAGAGGCCCGACTCCTGCTGCACAAAACATCCCCCAAACCATGGCATTTCCTCCTCCACCTTTCACTGACTACTTTACGCACTCGGGGTTCAGTCTTTCCCCAGTTTGATGACAAACATAATGTTTCCCATCGGACCCAAATAAATTAAACTTAAATTTAATAAATTAAATTGCTTTCATCACTGAAGTGAACTTTGGACCAGTTCACTAGCAGCCTTTTGATTCTTTCTGCTGATGAGAGAGAGTGGGCTCTCAGTCCTACGTCGAGACAGACACTGTATGCCAAGAAAGATCCTTACCCTGTTCAGCGCTGAACTGGTGAGCAATTCCAGCTGCAGTGTTGAACCGACTGCCCATTGAGATTCTCCGTATTATCCTGTCCTCAAGTGCATTTGTTTTTGTGGATGACCAGTCTTTTTGGTTGACTTGAATGAGTTTGTGACATTGTAAAGATATTTTAGAAATCTCAGATTTGGAATGACCAACTTTTCTTGCTATGCCTGCTATTGACCTTCATCTGGACAACGTACTGTTGGAGGGTTTCAGTCACTTTAGAACAGCTCACCATCTTGCAAAGTCAGTGATAACTGGAATGTTAGGCTGCCAGTTAAATAGTTGTTGTCATATAATTAAGGAAATTTGAACCAAATGCCAGATTAACACCAATAACTGGGAGGTATCTGAAAATGTTCTCTAATTTTCATCAGTGTTCTTTTTCAGAAATCTCATTTTCTCAGTTTTTGATCCTGTGCTTCAGAATATATTTAACTCATGTAAAAAATATGCTTAAAAACTGCTCTTCTACTCCTGATAGAATAACTTCAAGTAAGACTAAGCAGTGACCCCGAAATTTAGGAAATTGTATTGCTCTGTAATTTTGATCTCCACCGTATATGTAATATTTTACTTCATATTATCTTTATGCATATCTCCATACAACTTAAATTACAGTTCAAGGCAGTATACCACTCTTTTTCCTGTTTCAGTATTTGAGTCTGATTTTACTCTAAACTTTGCCTGACCCGGGTGAACTCAGCTGAGCTCAGATCCCAGCTGAACATCACAAGCTTGAGATACCCCCAAAAAACAGACAGCACAGCTCTGTGTCGTGTCTCATCCCTGAACGTTTGAAAGGATGATAGAGATACACTGAATTTTAGGCTTGTTGGACAGTTGACTTTGTGGTCTGGGCTTATATAAGTGTGGTCAGGGGCTGGAGACACAAAGGCAGCAGCTGTGGGATTGTGCCTTTAGTATTCCCAGCCAAAAGGGGACAGCATGTTCCTCAGGTCTCTGAGAAACCAACCACACACACACACACACACACACACACACAGTCTCTCTCTTTTGTGCTCACTCTCCACTCTGATCACACAGCACTGCAGCGAGACACACAAGGCACGTTTGATCACCACAACAGGAGAGAGAGAGAGGGAGAGGGAGAGAGAAAGGAAACAGATATGCGTGGATAGACATACAGAGTGATGGGGGATAAGAATGGAGAGAGAGAGAGAGAGAAGAGACAGAGTGAGGTGTCAAATGGAGAGGTAGCAGGAAAAAGAAGGCTGGAGATGGGTAGACAGACACTGACAGGTACACAGCAAGGGGCTAATACCTAACATCATGTCTCACAGCAAGATGCAGATATTGACACTCCGGGTAAGAAAAAGAGAGAGACGGATCCAAAAGAGAGATCCAATGCAAAGACAATATTTGAAGATTCAAACCAAAATTTATACTAACAGTGATTTTATTGCTGAAGGTCACCAGGTCACTGTTGTTTCTTGCTGGAGTGCTGCATAACTGGCCATAGCTTTTGATGACCAAAAATGAAATTTACTGCTGATAAAAACAAGATTTATTGCTGCAAATATTAACATTTTGCAGAAAAAAAGAATTTTATATAAACTGTAGCAGTGAATAATGCATCAAATCTTTGACTAGTTGAACAATTATCATTTTATGAATAAAATTTCTGACATGGTTTCAATAAGTGTGCTGAGACTAATCATATAGAACAGTGAAATGCTTTTAAAGGGTATTCTGATAGTCTGGCTAAAAATAAAAATTCTGCCATCCTTTTACTCACCCTCATGTCGTTCCCAAACAGTTTTGTTTCCCACTGACTTCCATTGTATTTTTTGTCTATACAATGGAAGTCAATGGGAACCAAAACTGTTTCCAACATTCTTCAAAACATCTTTTGTGTTCAACAGAAAAAACTCATACAGGTTTGGGACAACATGACGATGAGGAAAAGATGACATAATTTTAATTTTTGGGTGAAGTGTTCCTTTCAGAGCCATCCAAAAGCTAGAAAAATATCCTTTATAATATAATGAAATATGTGCAATTTACTTGCAAATATTTTTTCATTCAAAGGGTGGACCGTACATGAATTAGAAAATGATCATTGAAAATGAACAACTTCTGGTCACTTAGTTGCTGTAATTCTCTGTAAGTGTGAACAGAACTTCAGGCGGCATAGAGGGGAAAAAAGACACACTTTAGAAATGGAATATCTCTACTTTCTAATACTCTTTTTAAGGGCTGACAGTTTGTGCCTCCCAGCCACAGAAGGGGATCGTTGGAGAGTAGAGGAAATGTAGGTCTCGCTGTATGCCTTCAGCCACATCGCCAATGTCCACACACATACACACTGACATCACTGCAAACCCTGCACTCAAATCACCGCCTGCGTCTCTGCATTACTGCATTCTTACTTTGAATAAAGATAGTCTCATTTTCTTTAGTCCCTTGTTTGGTATACATATTTGAATTGTGTATAATCCCAAAGGAAATGAAAATCATAAAGGAGAAGTGTTTGAAAAAGTGCACTCAGTAGTTTTTCGTCCATGTTTAAAAAAAAAAAAAAAAAATCATACAAAAATAAGTTTAGTTTTGAAAAGTCAATAAAAGGCCAGTAACCAAAATTACTGAGCTCCCCTCTAATGTCTCCTTTTCTTAGACAGCAATACATTAAAAAATATATTATATATTAGCTTAAGTCTTATATTTCTCACATTTTTCTCATCATATTCTTCTAAGAGCAAATGAAAGAAGCAATGCCACATTTTTTTTTCTACATTTATCATCTGAATTGTGTCACTATATTCTTGTTTAATTTGCATTAAGGAATTTTAGGGGGAAAATCTGACAAACATTATTCTTCAACATTTTACTATGGGATTTACAGGAAGTTCTGTTATTTGTCTAATGTCACTAAAATATAACTCACATAAACTGTAATAGATATTAATTCAGTGGTTCTCAAACATTTTTGATTCCAAAGCCCCTAATTGTCCACAACAATATTCAATGGCCCCATGGCCTTTACAGTTGTTTGTGATTTACTAGATAAGATCAGATAAGAAAAAATCACAATTTTCTAAATTTCTACCCAGTTGTTCAGGGGATGAATAAAAATGAGAAATATCTTTATTTGTAGTTATTTTCATGCTTGTTTTGTTTCACTTAAATTCAAATTCATCCTGCTGCCCCCTTGGAAGTTTGCTTATGCCCCCTATTGCATGAAGGTAAAACAGTAGCAAAACTTGAATGCTTGTTGATTTGAATGTGAGAACTTGTCATAATAATGTTAATAATAATATTTGTATAAAAGGGCTTCATCCCCACCCCCAGTTCTGCTCTCTCGCATCTGCATTTAAGTGCACAAGTGAGTTTTGCTACAGGAATATCGCGAAAGGAGTAGCAAAAGTCAAAGCGCTAAGATCTGAACTTGATCTGAGAGGTTGTACAGCGAAACTGAAGTAAAGTGCAAAAGTAAATATGTTGTTCACATTTATGTCTCATTTTATGTGAATGTCTTTTTACACATTTCTGCAACTTCGAATGCAAAACACGGGTGTTTTTATTATTGTCTGTGTGTGCAAATCGAAAGATTCAGCTGTTCACATCAGAGCTGTGAGTGTAAATTTTAGCTTACAAATACGAATATTAATATGACAAGTTATCACATTTCAATCAACAAGCTCTCGAGTTTTGCTACTGTTTTACTTGTTTTACCCCCTGGTTGCAAACTAAAATCTGTCTAAACACAAAAGCACAGAGACATCTGAGCAGAGGCAGCAAACATGCCGCTTCAGTATGTACTGCCATCCCATAGTCTGAGAGACAGCGGCTCATTTAGAGGAAACTAAAGAGTGAGCATGTTCATTCATCAGCCAGTAATCTTGATCTCGGGAACAAAGAGGCTATTACCTGATGATTGATTTGTCTGTTTAAATCTGTTGATTTATTTTTTCCTTTTTCCACAATATTGTAATGAGGAGAGAGGGAGCTGGGGGGTAGAATTTGATTTGCTGGATGAGAAGAATTGGAAAGTTGATGCGAGAGAGACGTCGGAATGTGATGAAGGAGAAAAAGGACAGAGCGAGTGATGAATGTGTAACGGAGAGGAGGATAGATGTAAAAGAGAGCGAGAGGAAAAGAAAGGAGCAAGAGCGATAGATGGGGGAGGGGGTATAGTATGCAAGTGGATGATTTACAGAGGGAGGGAAAACTGAGAGATTGTGCAGGGGAGGCAAATTAAGGACAAGCATGTTGGCCCAACAAGATGGAGGCAGATGGATGAGGGAATACATAGAGTGGGAGAATGAGGGAAGCATTTTAATTCAGAGAACTGAAAAAGGCATAAAACAGCTTGCGTGTGGTTGTAATTTCGCATTCTCTCTGCCTCCTTGCTCGAGGGAAGACTTGCAAAATGGCTGTCGCTTATAGACGGCGGGTCAGATTTCGCCATATATTAAGAAGGCATGAATCCAATATGTATAGCAGCAAAAAAAATTCTCTGCCTGAGAAAATGTATTCCTCACAGGAAAGCTTGTTGTCTAGATTGACATATTCTCTTATTGAGCATGAATTCATGCTTTGAAAGTAAAACTCAAGCCCTAAGCAGCTCTCTGAAGCTATTCTGTCCGAACCTGTTACACGAAGGTCTGCGGGAATAAAAGTGATGATTTTAGCATGCTAGAACGCTTGAGTAGGTCACATGTTTTATTACAAACCTGTGTTCCTTTTCTCTGGAACATGGCACACTTTCCCGCCACATCCTTTTTTCCCTCCATTTTTCTGGGTTCGCTCCATCAGAGCGAATCATTCACACTCATTATTAGCGCAACAGATACATTACATACTTAAGAGACCGTTTCCCACATATAGATGAGCCTGGAACAGATGAGTAATTACGTGGCCTGTTACTTCACTTCCCTACTGTTACTTACTCAACGTCTGACTCATTTGGAAAGCCTCGTGCTCGCTCACAACACGGCCTGCTTTCCTGCTGGTTTGAATGGTGCTCGAGACTTCGTCAGGTGCGTGAGGGTTTGCAAACACAGAGAAGCATCGAGTTTGTTCCCCGTGGGTTTGTCTGTTTATTCATCAGGACTTGATGCATCCAAGTTTAGGATCATTCTGTTTTGGCACCTTTAGAATTTCATTTCAAAGAAAACGACACATTTAAAATGAATCCATAGGAATACGAAATGACTAAGGCGTGTGATTCCGAGAAAAAGAAATGAGTAAAAGAAATACACGTGGATACAAAGAAACAACTCAGAATTTAAAAAAGCAGTTTTGTCATAATTCGTTTGCTTGGTTTATCACCAAAGTATATTATTATAATGATTATAATAATAATATAATTAATAATAATAAAAACCAAAACAGAAAGAGTACACAAAACATTAATATTTAACTTTTTTTAAACATTGCTTTTCCCTTTATAATTATCATTATCCTTTAAAACTTAAGTTTCAAGAGCAGGTTTGCTGTAAATTTATAGCATGCATTTAATCTTTGTATTCGTGAGTCACTTAGCTTCGTTTCTCGTAATATTTCGTACTTTATTTGTCGCTTGCGTTCTTGCAAGTATTTATTAAGAGTTCAGCATCCTCTTCTTTTCCTCCCCCTCCTCCTTCCTTTTTTTCGTCTCGGCAGTCATTTCTGGAGTCTTTCAGCGAACTCTGACCCCTTTTTGTCGCTCGTGCCAGCGAAGGGGTTTGCGTTTGTTTTTCTGTCGTTTGCTCCCATGACGACCGAATGCGAGAGTACAGAAAAAAAAGGGAAGCAAACAGGGACTGAGAAAAAGATGAGAAGGTTCTTTTAAAAGAATAGAATTTTGTCTACGTTTGAACAACTTTGTCAGTTTCGTGTTACAGCAGCTTTGCAGTGAAGATTCTCTGTGATTTCGTCAGTCGTCCAGCTACAGTCGCAGCTCAGGGACAGTCTCTTTTCCATCAGATCATTACCCAGCAAACAGCGGTTTGACATTTATTTTGCCTCAGAAAAGTCTTGATTATTATGTTGATTTATTTATAAAATTAATACACACACACACACACACACACACACACACACACACACACACACACACACAAACCTCAAAAGTAAAAT